GATCATGTGTATTGTGCATTAAAAAAGAATTATTGCACAATTTTAGGAATATTTACCTCCAGCCCAATTTGCCTTTAAGTTAGCGCATACCTACATGTATGAGAAACATGAATATTAATTTGTATATATTGCAGCACTGACCTGAATGTTTTATCATTGGCAGGTCATCACAGTTACTGGATATACAGGCACTGAGAGAACGCTATTGAAGAACATGATATATGTTATTGGTGCAAAATACACCGGCTACTTAACTCGTGTTAACACACATATTATCTGTAAGAGGTATGCTGTGATTTACACTGTCAGCTATATGTATTTTTGCGTCACAGTTATTCAACTGTGATCTGTTTACTCTGTAATTGAATTCGATCAAAAAAATTTGATTGCAGTGGAAAATTGAATTTGATCATTACAAGTTGGGAAGATGAGCCCTTATGAGGAAATGAAACTCAGATTTTTTGGATTCTGCATTCTGACACTCTACCACTGAGCCACAGAGACTCTGTGGTGAGCTAGACTATCAGTGCATTTAGTTTTATTTGTGTGTGTGCCCAAATATTATTCTTTTAATTGCATAGATATAACTACATATAGTAGATTGTTCAGGGATGTACCTTTTTAGTGTATAGAGCTTTGTGGAATAGTAGGCAGGGTCTAATGACTTTGAGATGTATTCTTAAAAAAATCTCACCGCTAATGTATTGCAATGTAGTGCAGCATAAATTGTTAGTATAGGTGAGGAATATACAGATCATGTTGCTTTTGACAGCCCAACAGGAGAAAAATACACCAAGGCAAAAGAGTGGGGAGTACAATGTGTGAATGCAAAGTGGCTTGGTGACATTGTTACAAGTATGTACAGATATTACACTACCAGTTTACAAAAAGAACAAATCAGCTCACGCATCATATATTTTATAAACAAATAATTGATTTATGATCAATCTGTAATCATAATGAACTTTTCAGGAATTCTAAGTTGCTAAGGACATGTGTGATTTTTTACTTGTTGGAAACTTTTGAACATGTAGGTTCAAGAGAGTCTTGACCAACATGTCAATGTACCTTAGATTATAGTTGTCATTCTTGTTGTTGCTTTTTTTTTTCCATTAAATTGTTTCATTGTTTTGGTAGTCTGTCAACTTTTCACCCCAACAATCATGAAGCAAGGATGTATACACATAAGTGATGATCGATGATTGTATTCTGCCACTTCTTGGTGTAGAGTTTTGGGGGGGGGGGCGGAACTAGGGGAAGAGTTAAGGGAGAAGGGGCTTGGGGATGATCTACCAAGAATGAAATCAATGCAAATGTGATTTATTATTTTAGTTCAGTATGGTGAGTCTGGAGATAAGTTTACCTGATTTGACAAGTTGTTTGAAATTATTTCTTAGCTGGTTTTCCATCTCCTTGTAACCTTGTGAGGTACTCAACCCTGGGTGAGCCAGATGAACTAGAGATAACTAAAGATCTACTGGTCAGAGAGCTTATCAGTAAGTTACAAAGACCAGCAAACTATTGGCTTATCTGCTGGCAGAATCCTTTTTTCCAATGGGAGGTCATATACATGCATGAAGAATTGTTCGTGACACTTTGGTTCAACTTTGTCTTTTACTTCGGCTTTACTGCCCAGTTTATACACCATTAATTAAAAGAAACCTTTGGACATTTGATGAGTCAAGGGTTTGTAACACAAATTTTGCAATATGAAATTGGCCTGCTTCGTTGAATACTTTTTTCCTTTTGATTAAAGATTGTAGTGATGAAAATATTAATATCACACATCATGTCAACACCAAATATGGTGGGCTCCAGTTAAGAGTATTTTTTCCAGTACCTGCACGTGCATGAGTCTTATTCACATGCAATTGAAATCTAAATCTTCGAATTTTTTTAATTTCCAAGTTCCCTGGCAGTCATGTGAAGGTTCAAGTGCACTCGAGGTGAGCATTACACTGTACATATACTTGTTCTCCTTCCATCTTTGATATTTTTTAATACAATGTTCATGCACCGCGTTACATGTATAATAATGGTGATTGTTCTCTGGAGTGGTCTTGCGTGGACTTTCTAAATGAATTGTGCCCTTACCAACCCATACTTACCACTTTAGGGTTAATATGTGTTGTAATGTATGACTCTAAAGATACATACACCATCATGTGGTGAAAACTGCTAACCTTCCCTTATAATGCGTGAATATCACGCCTGTTTATTTACGTGTAAATGTTCTGCCGCAAATTTAAGCACATTGTTTTCAACGTACACTAAATAAGTTTTGGTTCTTTCCAGATGACTGTTGGTGGTGGAAAACGGAAATTTGGAGAACAGGTAAATTGGGAACATTTATTATGTGTAAAAGCTGTACATGGATAACTGTTTTGTTGTTAACTAAGCATTGCCGCTATACTGTATGGTATGGAATATTTGAATTCATGAATCACGAAAAATAATGAATTTTAAGCTCAGTAGTGGAACATATGGAAGATATGTTTCTTCGTGTATCGAGCGTGGGACAAAGAAAAAAAAATGAGTCGCTCACGAGGAATCGAGCCCACAGATCTACAGTGTACATTGTAGCTTAACATACAATTCTCTGTGGCTCAGAGTAGAGCATTGCGGCACCAAAGGGAAGAGCCTGGGATGTGATTTCTCGTGGAGACTCAAAGATTTTCTGTGTTCCCTGCCCATAACAAGACGAATAACATGTTTCTTTACATTTGAATGCACCTTGAATTACCGTATAAATTTTGGATGCCGTATAAAAGTAATAGCATGTGCAACCATGGTAAACAGTGGGTAAAGTTTATGTACATGTTAGTGTAGTTTCTAAAGGTAAGCTAACGTGGCTGTATTTTACCGTCGACGTCTTGGGAACTGTCCCTTTTTGTCTCTTTTTTCTCTTTGCTGTTAGAGCACTCCTGAAAATGGTCAGCTGAGGAAAGTAAGGTATGTAATTTTCACTTCCTTCAATATAAACTGATTAACAATGAAATTATTACTGAAATAATAAATAATTACTGTGATATTTGAATGAAGTTTCGCGACGATTTGAGTGAAGTATTGAAAGAGACAAAACGAACTTGCGAGATTATGTTAACACGATGTTGTTTTAGTTAACGAAGTGTGAACTTGGTGAAGTAGTCATTGGCTGACTTGGATTCACTTCAACAGCTTCATCGCTAAAGTCATCGTTGTGACGTCGTTACAATTTCTCGGTTTAAGCATTTAATCGTTTTGTTTTATCCTTCGGACTTTTCTATCAGTGTTCACCTCCTCTCTAGTACTACTTGTAATAAGGTTGGGTTTTTTTCCATAATTCAACAGACGAACATCAAGTCCTGCCAGTGCTGAAAAACCGGAAGGGCCCAGAGTTCTTTTTACTGGCATTGTACCATCAGATGTATCAAGATTAACTGAGGTTTGAAAATTAGTCACAGTAGCTTGATTTTCGTGGTTATATTTGCCCGTTTTTGCGTTTTTCACTTAATTTCTTTGAAAATTACGCGTGACTTTTAATCTATCTTTTAATGATTATTGGTTTTCAGATAATCACTAGTCTTGGAGGAGTTGTGGTCACCTCAGTGAAGGAATGCACTCACCTTATAACAAGAAAGGTTAGAAATTTTCCACATTTACTTTACACTATGAGCATTCCTTTCTTTTTGGCGAAGTCCTTTGCGAGAGTCTTAAAAAAATCAGCGAAAAAAATTGACGTCGATGCGCCACGGGAGCGCCTCACTCCCAGAGTTCCCGTGGCACATCGACGTTAATTTTTATTTTGGTAATTTTTTTAGGACTCGTGAGCCGGACTTCACCGAATAGAAGGGACTGCCTGTAATCTACATTTACTGGGTCACAATGGAAAATACTTTGTTTGAATTATTATTGAGGCGCTCATACAGTGGGTAACAAGTGTAGCTTTGTCGTTATAATGAAGGGGCAATGACAACTCGACGGATGATATTGATCTACATAATTAACGGTGATATAATGATGACGATGAAGCCTACTCTTTTGATTAAAGAGTTGTCATTGCCAGTTCATTACATTTACCAAAGGAATGCTTCTTAGTTAACAGATCCTTGAACGTTAAAAGTAGTTTTTCAGGTTGAAGGGTCTGGTTAAGGGTCTGTATGGATACTTCTTTTATTTTTGTTAGATTATTCGAACAGTAAAATTCCTGTGCGCAATCTCTATCGCGAAGTACGTTGTGACTCCGGATTGGATTGAGAAGAGTCAGCAGTCCACGACATTTCTTGGTAAATGAACATCTTTATGAGTGTCAGAAGTCTTCTAATTACGCTTTATCGCCATTACGTTATAGTGCATAGAATATATGCAACATGTCAAGCCCTCATTGAGTTATACCCCTCAATCACCCGTTATCCACCGATTTAACCTTTTACTGAATATATGAGTTACTTGCCCACAGATCATACTCAGACTGCTACATGTAGCGAGAAATTTGCTGTTTCTTCGATATTAAGCTAAAGCTTTCAATGAGAGGAGATTGGGACGAGGCAGGGTTGTCGGGTTCGAGAATATTCAAGTCTCGACCCATGCCCTACTTCGTCCAAACGTCAATTACGAGTTTTCTTTCCCCTTACGCTTGTAGGACCATTACAGAAAAATCAGACTACTGATGTTCTGGCTCAGAGAATAATTCACTAGCAAAAACAGGATTACTGATCGCAAGAGAAATTGAGAACAATGCCTTAGCAAAGATTTTCGGGAGTAAAAATGGTGCGTTATGGGCAGTTCGAAAATACATAAAGACCTTTCAAGTTGTTAAAGTAGTGTGATATTTTTATGTTGCTTTATTTTTCACTTTGTAGACCCAAGTGAATTCACAGTGAAAGACAACTTCTCCGAGGACATGTATGACATGGATTTGAAAACATCACTTCAGAGAGCAAGAACGCGGCCACTTTTAAAGGTTTGCAATTGGCTTTCATGCTTTTCAATAACGCCTCTGAATCCATCATTCCTATGGCGTTTCTAGCTAATTGCTTCAAAGTGCTTTTTGATTGAGTTTTATGAGATTTATTGTACAAATCACAACGACCAATTGGCTCAATTGTTGAAATTTCTAGGAGCTAATGAGAACTTAACGTAAATTCACGTAACCAACCAATAGAACACCTAAGCGCGAATGTCCAAGTCTTCGGCGGTTTTGTTTTCTTTGGAGTATGGCGCGAGTCCTCGAGACCAATCACAGAGCGTAGGAAAAAAAACCAATCCAATTCCAATTTTGACACGATTGAAAATTGGTGAAACCGGAAATATCTCAGGTATGTGTAGATAGACAAATTAATATCCTTCTTCAATTTCTACAGGATATCATGGTGTATGTGACGCAAAGTGTCGAGCCAAGCCCATCGTCCATGAAGGAGATTATCCAGAGTGCAGGTGGACAGGTGGGAAAACTCGTCAACTTCCAAGTTCTAATCATTAACTCTGCTTTCTGGTTTCTATTCATCTCTTTATAAATTAGTTCTGAGAATTTGGTGTTACCTGTATGTAAAGATAACACTCTGAAGTTGATATTTTGTACATTTTGATTACTTGTTGCATTTTGCCTGATTAATGTATTAAAATTGTAAGGGGTTAACGAATTTGGGTTCTTCATCTGGTCGCGTCGGGAAATATATGTACATTTATTCTCAGTTTTATTTATGTTGTGTACGGAAAAGGTAAAGCTAGTGTTTTTTTTTTGTTTGTTTTACCAGCTATGAGGATTTTTAGTTACTTTTAGTTCTTAAACGGTGGCCCTGGTTATTCGAAGATCAGAAAACGTTATCCACTGGATAAATCTCTATCAGCGGGCCCGGTTGTTCGAAGGCTGATTAACGCTAACCCAAGATTAAGTTGTAATTTGAGTTTCTTCATTCCTTTATTCAGAAGCATTTTTAAGATAATTTCTTGTGTTCTTTGTTGAGCATCAAATAGTCGTATTCTAGACAAAAAGAATTCGACTGAATCTTGTGTTAAAGCTATGAGATCTGAAATCAGATTTCACACTAACCTTGGAATATCTTAACCCAGCTTAACCCGGTGATATACGTTTTGCTGTTACTTATCCGCTGGATAGCGAGTTATCCGTTGAATAGTGTAATCCGCCCTTTATTCAACTGGGCTCAGTTCAACAGTAATAATCAGTCTGCCCGAAATGAAAAATAGGGAAACGGAATTTTATATTCCGGCTTAGATCACACGCTATGATGGTTTGGTCAGTGTTGTGCGACTGCAAGTGAATGGAAACATCATGAAATATTTGGGAATAACAACAATTAGTCATGATAAAAATTTGTACAAAAAGCAGAAAATATATAAAAAAGTTGTTTCGGTTCAACTTAAATCACAGTTTCTACTCTTGTGGATTAAGAGCTCTCTTTTGTCTTATAGGTGTTGACGAGTGTCCCATCTCAACAGCACCTAGCAGAGCTTAAACGCAAGGCTATTGATCAGGTATGTTTTGAAAATTGCCATAAGAAAAAAGAATTTGAATTCAGCCATTACTCAAATCTTTCCGTAGAAGACAGTTCACCTATAAGACATCAATTTGTGGCCTTTGAAATTTTATGTCGCGAATCCTGTTTGATAAATAAGAGGGCGAACATAACTATGCTTTTTGTTTAACAGAGTGTACAAACATTGTATCTTAAAATCGTTCAAATTGATTGATGAATCTTCTTTTATTTGTGCTCAGGGATCACCCGTGTTACTGGTTATTAGTTGCGACAAAGATGGCCTGCTGTGTTCAGAATTTCTCAAGAAAGGATTTGGTAAGAACTTTCTGTGAATTACTTCAGTGAACATGCAGCTACATGTCCAAATGTACGTGAGGCCTGATTCAGACGCTAAAATTTTCACTATCCAAACTTAATTTTAATTTGGAAGTATATTTATTCAAACCGTTTGCCGCTACACATGTAGGTCATCACAATTCATGCCCTAACTTTGGCATATTTTACCTTTGTATCCAAACCGGGGCGTAAACTAACTTTTTCCTCTGATAGCCTCTTGGCTCCTAAATTCTTCAAAGTGGTAGCCAATTAAAAAAAAGTGGGTCGCCATTTTCAAAGACAAACAAAACCTTTTTTACGCTGTCAGGGCTCTAGATAGGCCCTCCAGAATTAAGTTAGGAAAAAGATCTTTAACCTGCTACAGAGTGGACACTAGGATGGAAGATATAAAGCCTTCAAGCCCACCTACATCCTAAATCCAAGATGGCGTCTAGTCCTTGATTGAAATGCATATGCTACGTTTTGGAAACAAACTTGAGGAAGTTTGCCGCGGATTTATCTTTTCCAAATCTTTTTAGTTCACTATATCTCTAAGTAAGGTTATGATGAAACATTCTAGTCGCTAATTTGGCGACTAATTTTCAGGATTTGGTTGCCAAAGTGAAAAATTTAGTCGCATTGGCGCCTGTATTAGGCGCAATTTCACGCCCTGATCCAAGCCCTCCCAAGGGCTAAACTCTCGGCCGAGTTGGGTGGGAAAATTGCTAAGCTGCCGAAGCATTCATTCAGTTCATGAGTAGTTTTGCATTTGTTTTGGGTCGAGTTGTGTCTTCTGAGTTTTGTAAGCAGAATTCATAACGATAAAAGTTAAAATAATACAGGTCTAAGAATAAACCTTAAATGTTTAAGAGTAATTTAATCGAAAGTTCGTATTAACCCTCTGACCCCAAGACTGACAGCCTTCTAATTTCTCCTTACAATGTCACCCCTAAGTCATACATTGAGGTCACGAGAATAAAAGACTGATCACCAACTAAAGTAGTTCTTGATTGTGACACAAATTCTCCTTGTCAGCACCTTAAGAAATGTAAGAAGAACAGTCTTAAGAATATGCATACTGATGTATGGGCGAAAAGGGTTAAACAAAAGGCAACCAAAGTTCTTGTTAAACTACACGCCACTCCAGCACGAACCGTCCCACCTCCTACGGTGTAAATTTAAAATTTCTTATTTTCCTTTCGGTTTTTTCTTTCGTCAGACATACACAATGCTGAACTAATCTTGTCAGGTGTATTGAAGCAGCAATTGGATCTCGACTTGTATCCTTTTAGTTCAGCGCTCTATAAAATACTTTCTCTTAGGGAGATATTTTATTTACGTTCTTGTTACTGTATTTGTTGATGTTAATTTTTTTTCTCCTCCCAATACTACTTGGTACTTTTAACTTTAATTAGGATAATTTCGCTTTTGTTATTTTAACATCAAAGGTCATAGTTTAACTTAATGAGAATTGTCAACTTGCGTACTGATCATTAATTTGAATCAAAGAGTTAATTACAATGCTTAACATTATTGCCAGATATAAACTTGAAATAACTTTGGAGTGACGGCATGTTACAGATGGAAAAGTTTCGCCCCTCACGAATTTAAATTTTAGTTAGATTTAATCAATATTTTTCACTCAGTGTTATCTGGCTTTTTATCACGATATTGATGATATGTTCAAGTAGCTACGAAATGTTATCAGCTTTGAAGATACAAAAATCTTCACCAAATTCCCACTGCCTCCTTTGAAAAATTCCTCGTTATCTGTTTAGAATTTATCCTTTGTGCAGGATTTCAATGACAGACTCATGTAAATAAGACTCTTCCTCGTAGTATTCGAAAGCAAAAGTGTCAGGTTTTTATTTCACTAATATATGGTACCTTACATGATATATATATGTTATATTAGTATACGAAACGTGATACACATTAAACACTTTTTAACTTGCTCAAATTATTAGTTGCTTACTGTGTAGTAGTAGTAGTTGATGTTGCTAAATTGCTATGATGTAACTGTGGGTTTACTAAATTAGGTCACGAAAACACGCGAAATGTGCCACAGTGATACAATGAAGAAGATAGTAAAAATACGGAGCAACAAAATGGCCGCACTGAACGATCCAATCTTTGATTTTCTTTTTCCTATGGGTTTTTTTTTTTTTTTGCTTGACTTTTAGAGGCGAACCCATAAGTGCGATAGATTTTTTCTTTGGTCACAAATGTGCGAACTGGACTGTTCGGCAACAGCGCGAAGATTTACTCAAGACGAGAAAGGGAACTTATTGCATGGTCTCAAAAGAAGAGGAAAAGAAAATATCTTATCCGAGAGCGATAAGCCGAGATCGATAATTGTGTTTACTCGGTAGGCGACCATGTTTCAGTACTGTGTTGTATTGTATGAATCTCACTAAACCCACTGGTGTTTAATTGTGATGTCTATACCAACCCCGCGCCTCTCCCCAACTCATCAATTTGAATTAGACGAAAAATTTCGATTGGCCAATTGTTTTTCTTTTTCCAGTCGACTGTTGTGTTTACGCCACAAACCGTAGCAATTTGAGGGAAATCTGTCGGTGAGAGGCAGTAAAGGCTTTGCTTTAAAGGAATGCCGGCCGGAGATCAGTCCCACGCGTTGGTTTTGGAAAGTGTGTTTCTTTATCGAAGAATTGTGGAAGTTTGAGAATCGATGTCTGTGGGAACTACATGTATTTAAAAGCCTCACTCCCCAGGATTTTAATGCTCAAGTGCATATTGATATGATCCTACGGGCTCAACCGACACCTACTATCACCATCCTTTCTAATTGGCTTTTCGTTAATCATGACAGTTTGCATCAGGACTATGCTGAACAGGCCAGAATCACAAATTGAAAGTTTACTGTTGATATTGCAACGTACAAGTGTGTTTGAATAAAAATTGATTAATTTAATTTTGGCAGTGTTGGAACGCCATACTGGCACATTTGTTGTAGTGAGTGAATACTGCAAAGGTGAGCCAGGTGATTTCATAGTTGGACAAACGACTCTACTGATTATTTCTTAAGTGTAGCCTAGTACACCCTAGTGAACGGGGCTAAGTTCTCAACAATCGAACTTGCGAAAAGAAAGTTTGCGATATGTGGCGAGTTCATGAAACCTGCTGGGAATGGCTGGTCCATATCCCAGCAGCTAGGGCAATCGGCTAAGGCATTGTGGCCCCCCACAGGCAATGACAGGCAATGAATGAGTTACCAGTAATAACACACGTCCAAAAAAGTGAAAAGGCTTAGTTGAGTTATTTCTTAGCGATTTATAGTTGGTTTTCCTTAATTTCGAGACCATTACGCGATGTCAAATTCATAATAAACCTTGCGCATGGAGACAGGTTAATCGGTAGATTTACTGCACATTTCAAGGTTGTTTATACAAAAACTTACGCTTCCTTTGTAACAGCATAACCCAAATCCATTTCTGATGAAACAGCGGCGAAAAATCGATAACCTCTCTCCAAAATCGTGTTTTTGGACGCCGGAGGCGATCCCAACCCAATCCAATCTAACTTTATTTATCGAGGGTAGCACGAAACAGTTACAATACTAGTAAACTTGTGGTCCTCCTACATCAAATATATCCTATGTATCTACTAAAAATATCCTTTATATATGTATATAAATGTGCACTAAGAGTAATATTATGTGAAATATAAATACAAAGGATATAGCATTGATAAAGATACAAAAGGAGAAAAATTGAGAGCAATTCAAAAAAAGAAAAGAAAATGGAAATGCTAGTTTACTTTAAAATGACGAATGTCCTCATTCAAATGGCAAAAGTAGTCATTCAGGCGTTTACATAGATCTGAATTTGAATTTGACATCTTTTAGGCCTTTAGGCTTGGCTAAATCTTTACATTGGGTTTCCAACGTTGGTAACGTATTCGCAAGTTGTAAATTCGAATTAAATTAGGACCATATGCAACTGACGATGATCTAAGAAATAACGAAACATGTTTTGAAAATTTACAAATGTTCTTTTTTTTTATAAGAACTATCTAATGCTTGTAGACAATTCCTTGTTAAAATTCTCATGCCTCTCCTTTTTCAAACTCAACTGTCAGACCCTCCGAAATCATCCCTAAGAAAAGAGCCTTGCGAAAGCTTCATCTCCGAACGTTTTGCCGCAATGTTTGATCTAAAATTAGCGTACGTTTGGTTGGAGCTATTCCGCGTCCGTTTAATTATGCCCAAATACGTCAGGTTTAGTCCTCTAAATGTTCATGAAACCGAGACTTTGTATTAAAATAATATTGGTTTGACTTAAATTTAAGAAGTTTGGCCGTTCATTGAAATCGCTAGGATAACATTAAAACGCGTCGAAATCGAACAACGATGTTTTGAGACGAAGAAACGTGGAGCTCATTACAACCTTTAAGATTTATTGCAAACTGTGACGTATTTTGCTCTTGAGACTGCTTTTCTTGGCAAAAGGAGCCCTAAATGATGCAGTATTGTTTTCCTTCTCGGATGCAATGCTAAGTCGTAGATGATGTTACACATGGATGGAGGTTTAAACAAACCTTTTCTAGACTATTAAATATTCATTCACTTTTATTTAAAACACGTCGACTCTTATCGTCAGTAAAATCTGGTGTGTCTAAAACACAAAACTGAAACCGAGAAAAAAAAAAGCAAGATATGTGGGGCAAATTACCAAGCATCCCGCTCTACAAACTTTTTCCACGCTCTCTTCTGCTGGTATGTGAACTTTCTTTGCTGCAGTTTGCAAAGCAGATATACCTTGTTTTCTTGCTTTGGATATTCTTTCAAACTATGCTTGTCGCTGAAATGTAAAAAAAAAACCGAAGGTATTTCGGTCGTAGTGTCGTTCAACTTTCCAGAGATATAAAAACTGGCTTCACCAGATAATGACTCGGTGATTTTGAAGACATTTTTAGCTGCATTTGTAATTTTTTTTTGTTCTCCATCCTTTTCCTCCTGAGTCGTAATTTTTCATTAAGTTCAGAAGTAAATGATTTTCGGCGATGTTTGTTTAATGCACTTGGACTAATTGCATATTGATTGCAATTTACTATCTTCGGTTTTCCCGCAGCAGAATCTTCCCCACCAACACCTTTCGTCATCAGTGTATTGCACTTCATTGTGAGACCTTCGGAAGGTTCTTGTCCTAGAGAGTTGGATCGAACCTTTTGTAACTTTCTTAGAGAACGCACAGCATTACTTTCAAGGGAAGAGACTGATAGTGTCTTAACTCCTTCGCCTGACGGTGTTATAGGATTAAATGAACTCCTATCGCCGAGTTTTAGTGTCAAGTAACTTGCTGTGTCCCTTTGTGGCTCATCCAGTAACACACGAACACCACTGCGCTCTTTTAAGAGCTGAAATCTCGCTCCGCCACTCTTACTGTCTTTAGCCTTATCAACCCTTTTTATTTCATAGCGGGTCCTTTCCGTTGAATTTCTTGAAATGTTTGACCTCGCTGAGTCTACACCCGAGACCTCCAAAGTGCTCGATTTGTCAAAAGAACCGGAAGAAAGCGTTTTTCCGCAGTTGAAGGTACCACTTTCATCTATGTCGCCTAACAATTTTTTATTATTCTTAAAGGAAACCTGCTGTTGAAGACTCTTTCCTAAAGGTAGTTTCTGTGCACCATCGGTTCTTGAACTTACATAGCTTTCACCCCGTGGTAATGTTCTATCTTTCATCCTTTCCTTGGTGCTCGACGTGGCTGTGCTGATATCAAACAAGCCTTGTCGTACCTGTCTGGGAGAATGAGATTGAGTTCGATGAATTTTTTGGCGCCCTTCTGTTGGTGCCATTATAAACGAATTTGTCCGAAAGCTCTTTGCACGGACATTATTACAGCTTCCACCCTGGAGTTCCAAATCGAGATCAAGAACAATTTTTGAATTGTTATTACACTGAAGTTCCGGGATGACCTTGGAGTGAGTTTCTCTATGTAGATCCGTTAATTTCAAACCGCTGTTTCTGGAACCTTCGAAAGCACTTAGATCCGCTTTTGCCGCTAAATGAGTTCTCGGTTTACATTTCACAGGGAAATCTTGTGTTACTGAGTTTCCTCGAGACCCACATGCCTCAGCATTTACGCTGTTATGCAAGGTGTCACCCTTGAGGTTTCTACGGAACACTGTTATTTCACTGGTGTCTAGGGTATCTCCTACATCAACAGATGGACTTGCTTCTGCCTTGGTCACTGAATGAGTCCTCAGCTGGCGTTTCTCGGTGAGCTCAGAGGTCACCGAGTTTCTTCGAGACCCGCACGCCTCAGCGTTTACGCTACAGGGCAGAATGTTACCCTTGAGATTGCTACCGGACACTGTTATTTTGCTGGTGTCACGGGTATCTGTTACATCAGCGGATGAACTTGCTTCCGCTTTTGCCGCTGAGTGAGTCCTTGGTTGTCGTTTGGTGGTGAGTTCGGCAGTCACCAAGCTTCTTCGAGACCCACATGCCTCAGCATTTACATTACTTTGCAAAGAGTTACCTACAAGGTTGCTATTGAACTCTTTCACTTTACTGGTCTCTCTAGTATGTTCTACCTCAACAAATGGACCTGCTTGCGCCTTTGCCGCTGAATGCGTCCTTGGTCGGCATTTCTCGATGAGCTCTGGTGTCGCCGATTTTCTTTGAGACCCACATGTCCCAGCATTTACGCTATTACGTAAGGTATTACCCTTGAGGTTGCCACCGATCTCCGTTCCTTCACGGGTGTTGGGAGTATCCCTTTCATCAGCAGAAGTTGTAGTTGCTGCAGAAAGTAGCACACCCTTTTCTTGCCTCACATACTCCCTTCTCCCTTTCAATGGTTTATTAAGTGACTGAGATGGACTGTGAACGGAATCTTTCGAATGATGCACTTCCTGAATGTTTCTCTTTAAAGACACTGTTTTGTTGGTTGTCTCATTTTCAAACGATGAAAACAGTGTAGCGCTTTCCTTAGCTGTTCCTGCGTTCTCAAAGAGTGTCTTTACCACACCTTTTTCGGGAAAGCTGTCATAATTAGCCAGATCTCTCTCACCCGAGACGCTGAGCTCTTCCTTGACCTTTTCCTTAAATCCTCTCATTGAGTTCTTTAACTTTTGCATTCCATGTCGTACTTTAGACCAGTCCTTCTTCGAGTACTTAGAGGATGTCATAAGTAGTCTGTCAAAATCATCCTCATCCGAAACACTACTATTCCTTCCATGTATCATCGATGTTGAGACTTTCGTGGCAGTGCCATCATTTTTCCATTTTCCCCTTTGGACTCTCCCTAAATCTCTCTCTATTGCTCTGGTTAAGGCAACCTCCTTTGCCCATTTGGAACGTGAGTAGTTTCGAGCCCGTCGATGAACGTCTCGAACCAACTGTAATTTTTCCTCAGTTTGGTAGCCATATTGTTCAATCTCTCTTTCCCTTCGAGTTTGCGCTTTATTTGAAAATATTCTTAAAGCATCTTTCAAGCCGCTTGTTAGATGCGTACTTCTGCGCCTTCCATTCGCTTGAGACGAGGAAGGTCTTCGCATCGCGTAAATTTCTGGCTTTCCACTAGTGTTCAAACTGGGGTTAATCTCTGAAATAGTCCTGGTCCTTACTTTATGAGTCTCGTCCTGTTTGCCACCAACATGAAATTCGTACCAATTAAGAAAGGCTCCGTCCATGATTTCTGAAGTCAGTCCTTCTACACAGCTTTCAGTTGTCAGGAGGTACTTATGTAAATTAAGGAAACTTGGCCGACCTGCGGGGTCACTGAAACATTTTTTCATGATAGACTGAATGAAGCTTGGCCAGATTTCCAGCATAGGAAGGATCATGCGATCCCGACAGAGAGCTTGTTTTAATGTGATTCCCGTCAGCCATGACCACGGAACCTTTCTAGCCAGGGACTCCCACATTAGAGCGCCAAAACTGGATGAAAACAGCAAACAGAATTAATCAGCTCGATAAGTCAATTCTGTATGCAACAGTGATATCTTCTTACGTCCTGATTCACTCTTGCAATACTGTGGTTTTGGTTTAACTCAATCGAAATGTGTTTTATAGCGTGCAATTTGTAATTATTTCAATAAACCAAGAATAATCACCTGGCGTCGGTTGTTTGAAGGGTGAATAACGCTATCCGCTGGATAAATCTTAAATCCGGTGGATGGCGCAGTACGTTTCCTTGACACTTATCCGCTGGATTTCGGTTTGCTATCGCTATTTCGCTATTCTGTTCATTTCAGAAAATTCTCCTATCGGTATTTTGGTTTGCTAACGCTATCCTACGGGTAAGTTACCCTATCCCTACGCTATCCTACGGGTGAGTTACCCGTAGGATAGCGTTATCCAACCTTTGAACGATTGGACCCTGGAGAAGACGAAAATAATCGACGACAATGCACCCTTAGGTTGCCTATCAGAGCTCAAAAAGGAAACTGAACGCAAATTGAACCAACCTGTAAACATCGGAAAATGTATCTGGTGGCTCATGTAAGATTTGCTCGGGTGCCATCCAGTTCTTTTGTATCTTGCGACATGCAATCTCATGATTCAAGTCTCCAACTTTCTGAGAAAACTCTAGGTTACCGATCTTTGCCCTAAACTTCTCGTCAATGAAAACTGAAAATGAGTTAAGAAATCCGTGAATTATGGAGAGGCTGTGAATATAAAGCATTGCGTTGGCTATATCTAATAGAAGATGAATTCTCATAGATAGGCTCATCTTTTCTTGGGTCTTGTGTAGCAGGTGGTTGAGAGAAGCAAACTGAAAATGCTCCATTACAAGACAGAGATGATCTGGATCAGGATCTAAACATACCGCCAGAAGTTTTGCTAGGTGTGGATGTTGTAAACGGCTGTAGAAATGAAATCAAGAAGAAAAAAACCGTGAGCTGATGTTACTTGTTATCTTGGATCCCTGTTTGATAGTTTTCCCGCCTTCTAAGTCACATGACCTCCATTATTCGCAGTCACTGGTGCACAATAGCAATCACTGTTCATTGTTGATTGAATGCGATTTCACAGGCATTCACTCGAAGTAACAAAGTGTGCAGCAACTTGGAGAAATAAGGATGAAAACCAAAGAAGAGGATTTTTTGTTCTTACACTACCTTTGCATTTTTATTTTTTTTTTCATTTTTTTTAGGAAATTCCACTAACGATGTCAAACGATATCTATGCAATGGAAATATTAATTACTTTGGTGGTTGGCAATTGTACAGGGGGGATGAGCACAATTTCTCTACTGCCTTACGACTAACAAAAAGACATCCTACCACAATATATCCACCTCTCTCTTCACAAGCGTTCTACTACCCTCCTGTCCCTTAACACGTTTTACAGTCACGAGGGAATGATTCCACAGTGCACTCTGTAGGGTCATGTGAGGTATGTCTTCCAATAGCGCAAGATGGGGGACTTTTAACTGGTCAGCGGTGATTTCAGGAAGTACATCGGCCAATAGCTTCTTTTTAAGCTGGATTTAGTGAAAAAAAGTGAAAAAAATGTTAGTCCAGATCGTAAAAGGCGTTGCTATCTCTGTTCTATCAGTAAAATGAAGTTGTTTCTCGGCAGTGTCAAGGTCAGCCCCTTGGCTGCACAGCTTGATCAATAGCCAAGTTGTCTGTCTCTCCTCCTTTCCTAAATTCCTGCTGGTTTTGTTTTATGATTCATCTTCTATTTACTCCATCTGCACTTCACAATGTTCTCAGTCAGCGCAGAAGAACTCAACAAATCAGCACTAGAATATTCAATTATTCTTTTATTCACTTTACGCTTCCTCGTTTATCTTTTTCATGTTCCTATTCCTAAATAACGTAAAAATTAGAACAAAAATTTATTCAGTGAGCACAACTAGTTTGGAGAAAAAATAATCAGGAAACATGGGTTAAAACTGAAGATCAATTTTGAATGGAAACTTCCAACTATCTCTTTAAAGCATAAAACCTCAAAATGAAACCATTATTGGGACAATTATTAATTAAAACAATAGGATACATGTACCTTTTTCTCTTTGGCGACGTTTGATTCTAACACATCGTGTCTGTTGTTGGTGATTTTCTTGTTCTTCAACATCTGTATGAACTCTCTTGTTCTGATCTCTTTGGGCGGACGGACCTGGGCGTTCTTTGTGAACACTAGAATTCTGTTATGGTGATCCTCCATGTTAAGGAATGTAGAATAGCTCTACGCATTCAACGCTCTTCTTTGAATATGCTTCATTGACCGAGTGTAACCTTGTGCAATTGAGAATGATTAATATGATTGTATTATCTAGTTTAACTGGGTGAAACTAAAATACCACTCACGGATACGTTATGCATATAAATTATGCTATGTCTATTGATGTCAAACTAAGATATCAACTCGCTGAATGAGTGCAATTGTAAAGGTGTAACTAGCACTAATCACCTTCTTATTACGTTGCGTAAAAGAGTATTCAGCATACAATTTAACGTCTCACCTATTTGGGTCTGCTACACAATCTAAGGAGATGTTTCACGCAGTTTTGTTTATCTCCACTTACGGCGTAAAACAAAGATGAGTTCTCAAATTTATCTCATGCGTACACGTTGATTCCATTATCTTTACAAACCTTAATTTTTTGTGAATCTCCTCTAATGACATAGTCTATCAGACGCCCCACCATTACTATTCCTAGGGTTGCATCTAAAGCAAAAAAATAAGACGACGAAAAAATTTCATTTCTACTATAATAGAATTATGCGCGCGCCTGCAAACTTCAATCATTATAATAGGCATTTTGTGACGTAACTAACAAGACCGTGGAACAATTACAAATTATGCTCTTTCTTAAGTGAAGAGTATTCTGCAGATCATGAAGAGCCCACATATCCCCTTATTAATATTTTTTTTCCTTTCTTTAACCTGACACTTTATATAATGTAGTCAAACTTCTTTATCTGTAGTCCACGGGACTGTTTAGAGTAATTCTTTATTGAATATCAGAAGTAATCCAGATTTCTTTGCTTTTGTTTACTCTGTGATTGATTCAGAAAACTTGCACAACTCTTCCAAACGGTCAGATGCAAAACTAAAGCCAATCGCGAATCAGTTGCTCGCGACTTTCACACTTTTAGGCAGTATAGTCTGTTAAACTTTGAATTCTTATTGGCTCTTTAAGGTATTTTCCTACCTCCTGATTGGCTGTTGTGATTACTTCACCCAACACTCAATCGAATTAAAATTCCTGCTATTTGCTTTCCTCATGTTCTATACATTTGACCTTTGAATAAGGTCATCCCTGCTAAGGGACTGGGCCTTCCTTTAGACAGACTCCCCAGATATCTCTTTCTATTGTTTTCCACTTTTATCAAAATGTTACCCCGTGAAATTAAAATCGAGAAGATCGAAAGGTCGGACTATTTTAGTGTTCACTCCTTCACTCGTTTCCGGAAAAAATATCTGACCAGGATTGCTTACATTCAACCGTTTAATCGTATTGTAATCGAAACTTAGGCGATCAAACCACTGCAAATAAAGATTATCAAACTCAAAACTAGTGATTTCAATACCAACACAGTTTATTATTTTGTGTCACAAGTAATAAAGATTGCAGCAAAAATCTAACTCTGTTTCTAAACCTTTTAGAGCAAATTTCAATTACGTGTCAACAGCAATCCGGGATTTATCTCGACTTCGCTTCTTGATTGGCCCAGAAAACTTGTGTCTCCGTGTCATCCAGTTAGAAAGAAGCTAACACAAATCGCGTGTTAGTCAGCCACGTTATCCCACGCTTCGAGAAACTTCCACGATTTGGTTTTAGATCTCACTATTTCCTCACATTATTTTTTATTAGCCGTTTGAGAACCTTGTCTCATTTTCTTTAAAGTTAATCGAAAAGTGCTGTAATGTTTTTGCTATTTAATCTTGAAGCAGAGCCCATCAGGCATGAGATGACTATTTCCGAAGGAAAACGACGTTTTCTAATAATCATCCCTACACAGTTGGCGGAATTTCTGTCTGGAATCTCCCCACTGGTTGTTGTTATAACAACATCCTCTGCGTCTCGAGTATCTGCCATGGCAGCAGTCTTCAAATCTTGGATCGTAAAATGTTCGTCCACAGCATTTCCTTTGTGGTCCATGAACGGTTGACAGGCTCGAACCTTTTATGACCATCGAGCCACAACAAGAATGCGTTAGAGGGTTGTATCCAACGTTCCCACAACACACTTTACCGTTGCTTACTCTGTTGGAACAACAAACCTACACAACAAAAAGATTTAGATTTAGTCTTTATAATAGAAATAAACAAATTAGAGTAAAATTAGAGTAAATTTTCTCGTTTCCAATTTCGACGCGGAAATGAGGGAAGACACACCTTACTTAAGGTGCCCTACTAAGCGAGCGAAAGCGTATGTGGAGAGAGCCTCGTCTCTAACTTTTTAGCTCTAAGTTCAAAAACCTTACAAGCTTGGGTTTGGATCCGCATGATGTACTTTGTATATGTAGTAAGAGAGAAAAGACACACGGAGCTATTTACGCGAGCTTCTTCTTGAATGACAGTGGTGGATAATGGATGGATTATTATGATGCAGTGGTCAGAGCACTCGCCTTCCACTGCTATACACTATGTTCTCTTCCTGCTCCTGTCGTCTTTGCTATTAAGGTTTTTCAAAGGGCTCTCTAGTTTTCCTTTTTCCGTTGTAACCAACATTCGAAATTTTGATTTGGCGCATTTTAATAAATATTGACAGAATTTTCGCGTTATGAAACAAATTGTTATCACTTTGATAAGATCGATTAACTGTCAGACTATTGTGGGTATTTGATGACACTTTTCCTCCACTTTTCCAAAATCAGGATTTCCCATTATATACGTCGAGCCTGAAAAAGGAATTCTTTTTGGGGCAGCATCTCAGTTAAACTCACTGATGGAAAGAACCCACACTCCCTTCCCCGCGCCCTTCACTGCAGTAAGGAGATGTTCACAACTATGGCAAAGTGATCAGTACCTGTGTTTGTGAGTTATAGACTCGATTTCCACAGCATCTTGGGTTCTGTACACCCTGAGGTTTACCTACAACCTTCCCAGCGCAGCACATCTGATGAGAGGTGAACATGATGTTGCTACCGCAGCAGCCTACTTGGATGCCACTTGGGTTTTTTGGCTTGTCAAAAAGCACATTCGAACAACAGATCTGATGGCATAGAGCATTTTTAAAAAACACTTAGATGTAATAAAACAGCAGTAGAAATCTCTGACTATTAGGTTAAGGCATGAGCCACCGTTCACCTCATCATTGTTGGTTTATTGGGAGGCACCTGAAAATAATTATGAACTTCTCAATGCAGTCTAGCATTGTCCCTCGCAAAGTGTTGTAAGGCGCATTAGGATGGACAATGCACTAAGTAAACGTCATACAATTAAAGCATGACATCATCATTAACAATAATAAAACACTTCTGTGCAGCAGTAACCTTGTGGCACAGTCATAGAGAGCCCTGTTATCTAGCCCTTGTCATGCGTCCAAAGGGAAAACGAAGACTGTCCAATCTTAATTTCTCGATTGTCCCTCAGCCGTGTTAATAATTGTTCTAACCTGTTGGTTTCTGTCATAAACATTGCTCCCACAACATGCAGGTGAGGAGATGCTTGGGGTAGACACAATTTTTCCCCCGCAACACACTTGTGACCTTGGATCGTAAGTTTTGCTGCCACAGCACTGAGCGGGCTTGGATGAAATGACTCCATTACAACAGACATGAGTGTAAGGGTTGTAACTTCTCTTGCTGTGAGACAAAGAATGTGGTTAATGATGATGATAATAATATCAATAATAATAATGATGATAAGAATAGTTGTTAATGGTGGTCTCGGGTCTGAGCCTTCCGACCAGCGACTCTTTGGATTTATCAACAATCTTTCCTTGGGGTGCACGCTTATGGATCTTTGCGTGACATTCGATATAAAGGCTGCCAAGAAAACAACCTCTGCCAAAAAAGAATGGCTAGTTGTTTGAATACATACCCACAACAACTGTTCAGATGCTGATGACTAGAAGCTCGAGGAGTAACAGTTCCACCACAACAAGTATATCTTCTGCTATCGTACGGAACTGCTCCACAGCAGGCATTTTGAGAACCAGTCTTTTTCTTTACGGTGAATCCACAGCACAGTTCTGTGTGAACATTATACTTTCGTGATCCACAACAAGCGTCGCCGGATTTCTTTGGTAGAACGCGATTACCAAAGCAACATAGCTGTCTTTCTGGGTCGTAATATTGAACGCCACAGCAACGATCGTAGTAACGAATCTCTTTAAGACTCCGTGGTTCTCTGCCATTGCGACGGTCGATTGTTTCCAGGCCACAAGGCCTGCGCCAGGCTTGACATTGATCCATAGCTATATAGGAGATGGGAGAGTGACTGTTTTCAAAGCACTGACACAAAATACTTCTCTAGCTAAAATCAGCCATATTTAAGCCATAAGCACAGTTCAAAAGTACACTTGTCATTTACACAAACATAAAAAAAAGAAATTCCCTTTTTTCGCTAAAGAATAAGTTCAACCACTAAATTTCGGACTCAGCCGTCGAAGTCGGACGTGGCCATAGAAAATCATTATTTGAAACAGCCTAAGAGATTTGTCACTTTGTCAAACGAAAAGTTCGACGATCAAAAAGGACCTTAACATATAACATGCCTCAACTGAGACCCCATATAAACTGTCCCAATCTGACGATATCTAATGAATATCGGCAGTCAGCCCACTTTACCGGGGTAAACTTCAGCGGGGCATTGCAAAACTCCACGCGATGTACATGGCCTCCCCATGCACAGACATTGATTTGGCTCGTCCCAGAACTCTTTTCCATGGTTGGAAATGAAAGAGCCCTTCAGATCTCGTGTTCATTCTCCCTCAAACGCAAGAAAACCTGAGTGGTTCTCAAAAACATCTTCATAAATGAATAATCTGTGAAGAGACTGGACTCCAATTGCTATTAGACTGGAGGAATTTAGGCAAAAAAACTTTCACTTACATAAAATGATGAACGCAAGGGTGGCGAAAACACAGCCAATCTGTCTCATGGTGATTCTTAACGTTAAATTTCTTTTGACCTAAAATATAAAATCTGTGAAATAAAAACAACGTTAAAGACTGATAATTCCTTGGATTAAAATAAAAAAAAATTATTTTACCAAGCACACATACATGTCGTGTCCCAATATCATAATCCAGGAGATCCTAACCAATAACTCTACGAATCACTGATACGAAACATCTTTCCGAAAAGCCTTGTTGCCTGAAAAAATCTGTGCTGTCGTTGATTTATTTAAGACGTCAAATCATTATCACGGCAATAATCTTTCACATATGTAAGTCAGGAAAATTAGTTGACTAGATTCTCATTTCCCGTAAGTGAGGAATGTTCGTCGAAACATTTCAAGATATTAATCGCGGCAGAATTCATAACGAGATGCAGGTTTCAAAACGTCTTTCCTAAGCTACCATCCTCTTTTGACTATTTCCACCTTTGGCGACCAAAAGTTTTAGGTGGATTGTGTGATCAGCCATTGCTTTGTGTTGAAGAGAAACAGAGCTACTAGTTAAAGCAAACATAAGATTTCCACCCTTAATGACGTCATCTCGCTTACTCATCGTAACAGCATTTGACCTGGTCTTAGAAAAGCGATTGTAGGAGTGAGAAGCGGAAATTTATTGTAAAGCACGTTTTTAGTATTTATCCAAGTTAGAAACAAAAAAACTGCTAAATAGTGCGTCTAGGGGAAATTAAGCGAAAGTTTTTCAATTAAGTTAGACATTTAGGATGCATACGACCTTTTCCATCCTAAAAAGAAAGTATTTGATCCGTAAGCCTTTTCAATGAGTAGGGGTATCTTTCTTGATTTTTCCTTATTTACTGAAAAATGTTAAACCTGAGAACGAGTTCTTTGGGCTCGTTTTTACCTCTCAAAGACAACCAAAATAAAAGGCCAAGTAATGCATTTAACATTTCCTTTTTAAATACAAATAATTTATAGAGAACAAAACTTCACTTTGAATTTGGACAGGGAATTTACGTGGTAGTAAGGACTCTCCGAGTAGCCGCGCAAACCGTGAGATCACTTACCCTTGTTCTGCTGAAAGGAAGTTGATGTCTCTGCGGCACAATTTACCTTCTCTTGCGCTTCCAAGTTTAAATGACTCTTTAGTGACCAACCTTTGTCCATTTTATTTGGTTTCTTGAAACTGACACCGGAAACAAACCGAGTTTCACTTCTAATAACAGATCCTATCTCACATACCACATTGTCCAATAATCGAAAGGTCACGAGAATGTTGCAGAGCGTATCATCACGGTCATACCACACTATGTGTTTGTGGTTAATAGTTGTTGACATGAGACGAACGAGATATAAGAGGGTTGTGAATAAAGCCCTTAAAACT